GTTTTGTTGTTCAGGTAGCAGAAACCAGCACATTTTCCTGGATTAGCAAATTAAGTAATTTTGCACATTTATGCTCAGTTTTGGTCAAGTTTATATCACACATAACATTACAATTCATGTAACATTTTAGTGAGAAGTTCATGCCATCAACACAACTAGAAAAGTGTGGAGTTGTTCAACTATCAAAGCATTGTTTCACCTACAACTCACAGTTACCTTATAACGTTATGTGTGTCAAGTATGTAACATGGAACGTGATGTGATAGTGGCCTGAATATTAGTACTGTATCAATATTACTGGGAAAAAACATTCCTCTGTATACTTTGCTTGCATTACTGCAGATACATCTGCTACACACAGCGGTAGACATATGTATGCATGTTGCTAGAATGTAAACCTCTTTATATGACATTGTGTCACTGCAATGCCACCAAAAACCATGGGGCTCTATGGGCTCTGTACTCCATATACATTAGCTCTGGAGCCAGTTACTACTGCTGCGCTACCTGACTGCTGCTGTCTCTGGCTATCATGACCACATATGACATAGTTTCACAGACAAGGCAGGAGGGGCAAAGAGGGAGAAGAGGAGGGGATACTGCTCGAGTTTGTTTTGACTCTCACTTTGCCCTTAATGGTCAAAAATTAGAGAGAGAAGTTAGTTATTGCAGCTTTAAGTCACCATAATGTGAATGTAGGCTACTAAATAAACTGTAGATATTATTTTAAACTGCACTTCTGGTCATGCAACAAATCTAGTCAATTTATTTATAGGCTATTGCATATTACAAAGGTTATTAATAGATAATTAAATTGATAATTATGCTTAAAAAGGTGAAGATAAAATAAAACTAGAGTTTAAAAGAGTATAAAAATTAATCAAGGCAAAGAATATCTGAACAGAAATAGGCTAATTGTAAGACTTAAGAAAAGACCTACTGCTCTTAAATGTGTTTTTAAAAATCAGCAGAGTAGCAAACCGTTTCACCAACAATAAAAAGAAATGCTGGCTCACCTTTTCTTTTGAACTGTATGCATGGAATATCAGTAACTGGTGATCAGACTTAAATAGACCCAACTCAGGTCTGCATGTGTGGACTACAGTCTTGCACCAAGTGCAGGATTTGGTCATTTGAGACTTTTCTGCTTGCATCACTTTCTTCTACCAGCGGCCTGTTGTAAGAAACCTCCACCGTGCTTGGCCTCTCTCTCTCGGCCACTCTGTGTTGTCTCCTCCCCTCTGATCCCGCTCAATATCCAGGCGCAGGAGAGAGGGGAACAAGTGCCCTGTGGCATCTGGTCGATCACAAATCTGCATAACAAAAAGTCCCTGTTCTTAATTGGAAATAGTTTTATATATATATATATATACACACACACATATAGGCAAGATGATTTTTATTCATGAATTACTACAATAGCTACAAAATAAGTTTTAGGATGAATTGGTGGCTTCTAATTCAAAGTGTGGGAATAGCAGAGTGATGTCAAGTGACCATCAGGCAATTAGTCCAGAACCAGTGTGGAAAAACTAGAAACTTTATTTGTTGTTGCTTTGGCAAATGATACGTGACAGTAGCAAAAAAAAAAAAAAAAAAAGATTTAACAAGAAAATTTGGAATGTTTTCCAAATGGGTCAGGACATTTATTGATACAAAATCAAAAGGAAACCGAAAATAATTATATTTTACATAGTTTTGAGGTTCTCATAATTTTAAAAAGTATATTTAAAATATATTTTACAAGTATGTATATGTCATTTGAATAATATTCATGTAAACAAGCTACTATTCGTGGTTATCATTAAATTAAATCTGAGTGGTTTATAATATATATATTTCATGTTTATAGTGTATGGCTCCTAATCAGTGATCTATTTGAGCCAACAGAAAAAAACGTGGAATTGTATTAGCGAATAAAAATAGGGGTCCACATTCAGTGCACTCATTTGGTGACTCGAGATACATACCCTACATGTCAACAAAATATGAATAACCGCTCGGTTTGGTTGTACACTCATTATTTTTCTTTGATCACATACGGTGTACCCAAGGGTTCTCACTTCAATGTAGAAAATTAAATAAGTACATGCTATGTGAGACAATTAAAGCGGGTTCCCAGAGGGTAAGACATGGGATGAAACAAGCCCTGACTGTCTGTTCCTCCCTGTATCTCCCAGGCCGGGCACAGTGTACACCGTGGCGCTGGGAGTTATTTCCCCAGGGATCAGGACCTCAACAAGCTTGCCCTCCTCTCTTGACTCTGCTGCATCCGTGAAACTCCACGTTCTCCTCGTGTGTTTAAGCAAGTTCTGCGCAAACAGTGGGAAGAGCCCGACGTGCACAGCCCGACGTGCAGAGCCTATGCTGTCTGGAGCGCTGGGAATGCGGATCAGATGGGGCAGAAGTGTAGCTGAGGTGGACTGGAATTAAATGAGCTGACGTGATTGAGCCGCGTATAAGACATCCATGCACTGATAGCTGCGCAGAGGCGCGCGTGTGCGCGCGCACACACACACACACACACGCGCGTTTGTATTCCCATCATTGTGAGGACACTTACTGACATAATGTATTCCGTAGCCTCTTAAAACTAAAACTGTCTACCCGCAACCTAAACCCAAGTCTAACCTGAACCCTAAAACCAAGTCTCAAACCTCAAAAAGCACTTTGTTGTGTGGGCCGGCTACAATGCCCTGACAACCAGGTACACACAGTGTCCTAAAGACATCTCTCATGGCGTCTTTCATATGAGCCTAATAATAGCCTTCTGTAATTTATCTAATCTATAACCTACTTAGTGATTTTTTACATTATAATAATTTACAATAATCTCTACAACTGCGTCACACTGCGCACTGCCACTGCAGTGGAAGCTGATACGTGAAAGGTGACAGACTTAATAATAAAAAAGAGAAACATATTTTTGCACCTGACAGCTCAAGGTGCAACACTATAAGCTTAATATAAATATATAGAACTTGCCGTTCACATACTGCTTTGGTTTGCTTGGACATTACTTAGGCGTGCATGCACATCACGCTGTTTGACATAACGCAGAGGTAAGGTCGATGTAGTTCAACTTACACTGAATGGTCCGTCAATAATTAAATAGCTTTAACCCTGTGGAGATGAGCATGCCCAGTCTTGAGTTTGGATGGGCCCAGACGCGCACAGCACGTGAGGAAAAGAGCCACAAGGGATTCACGTGTTTTATAGATAAGAAAGAAGGAACATAACGCAGACCGTATTCAAGAAATATGCCTCAGGGGCGAAACACAATAGTTATTCCGAGGAACCTTCTGTAGGCCTACCGGTAATTCAAACAATTAGCCTATTTAAAGAACCACGCAATCACTCACATTATTTGGAAGGCGTGGTGGGTGGTCAGCCTACATTTTATCTGCTTTCTGAAGTCTATGTGCATCTGTGTGTGTGTGTGTGTGTGTGAGTAAGGCGTGCACATGCATGGATTTTGCGTGCGCATGGAACAAATATATGCGTGCATTCTGGCATAGCCCGTCTATCTATCTGTCTCTGTGCGTGTGTGTTGGTTTATTTTCTAAAGAACTACTTGTTGATAGTAACGTATTTATAGGCTAAATGTTAGTAACGTTTATTGAACTGGCTGCTATATTTTATAATCGCTGCTCCAAGATATTTTGATCGGTTGTTTCAAGAGGCTAAGGCTTTAACCCACTTTCAGTCTTGTGGGACATGCACCCTGACTCTGCACCTTCAGCCTGTCCAACGCCAGTGTTTCCAGTCAAAAGTAGGCTACAGTTTAACAGGGGTTGGCCGGTTTAGCATGATTCCACTAAATTAACTTTCTAGATTTAGTTTTTTTTCATTTACAAGTATAATTGCATGCATAAATCGGCTACATTATATATTTGGCTACAACCTGAAATATAGCACATTTCTAATTATTTTATGCAGTCACACACACACACACACACACACACACAAACTGTCTATCTCTAAACGATGCAAAGAGATACGGTGTGAAATGAAACATTTGGAATGCTGAATGATTTATTAGAGAAATGAACGTAGAGCTATGTAGTCTGAAAAAATAAGCGAAGAGTAGGTCATTCTATGAAACCACCGAGGAAAAAATCATATGGAGGAAAAGCAGGAACCAGCAAAAGCATATGAATTGTGCCTCGGCCAGAGCAACAGTCTAAAGGAGGAAAAGCAGCTATCCAAATGTGAAAAGCAAATGTCTTTGTTTGAGATGCGCTCCTTAACACATCCAACCGGGATGTGAAATCATTGTGTGAGCATACAATCATCTACACTATATAGATTTTGACGCGGACCTAAAGGGAATAGCAGAATACATTCCAGCCTTATCATGAGACTTTGTAGGCTCAGTCTGGTTAAGCGCTATGTAGGGGGTGAATTTTCAACAGCTATTTTATCAAGACATTGAAATATGAACTTGTCATAACTACAGTATTTACTCAAACAGCGTAGACTATAAGAGCATTTCTAAGATATTGTGAGGGCGGGGTGTGGGATGGGGTGGGGATGGAATATCTATTTGTATTGCATCACCTGTCAGCGGCGTCCAATGGGCGTCCACTCCTAGGGCATTAATTGATGAAGGTGTCTCAGACTGGCGCACCTCCCCTCTCTCCCTTTTTATTTGTGGCTGAACCAGCAGCTAGATTAGCAGCTGCATTTTACCTCTTATTCTGTTTCTTTCTGTCCCTGACTCTCTCTCTCTCTCTCTCTCTCTCTCTCCCTCTCCCCTCCACCCTCACAGCTCCCTCTCCCTCCCTCTTTCTCTCTCTCTTTT